TTAGGTGTGACTGTGGTGCCTATGACGTGCTAGATCAGGCCTTATGTAGACTAAGGAGTGTATTAAAGCAGCATATTGGTATTCATGCAATCAGCCAAGATTCTTAGCATGTTTCTTTTTCCCAAATGATCAAATTTAACCACCACAAAAATACCAAAATATATTGCATAGTTATTGCATAGAAAAATGCTTTTCTTTCCTGACTTTCAATACATTAAGGACAAAGGCCCCAGTATACCTATTTCATAGATAGGTAATTTGAGCCATAAAGGAGTACAGAGAGTGCTCAGAATCATTTCTCTGGTTAATGGTGAAATAGGAAATAAAATTCATTTCTCCTGAGTATAAGCACACTATTAGCTTATCCATGTAACTAGGGAAATTTTGTTGGTTTTTCTGCCCTGCAATTTATATGCATATGTATAAACTTTGCAGCTGGAGTAATTTACTTACTTCATTTGACCCTGAAAGCGATATAGCCAATGTTATTAAAAATGGACCTAGCTCAGCAAACACTAATCCCTGGAGTAAAAGGGAACCAAGGGATCAGAAGGGCTTCTGTCCCACTCCTGCAGCAGTGAACCCCCCTCTGAAATGCAATGCAAGCATTAGCACCAAATTAGAGTCAATTTGCGGTTTGTTTTGCCCACTGACTCTAGATTCTTATGAAATTGGGGTCAAGACCAGGCTGCTTAAATAGATCTGAATAGTCCTAGATCTGAGGAGTTCTCCTTTCCCACCCTTCTTAGCCATTTCTCTCTCATTTTCCAGACCTTTTTCCCAGCTGTGGTGAGATTAATGTATATTTTCACTGTATGCTTTGCCATGAGGGAGGTGCTGATGTTATATACAGCCACACAGTTTTTAGAGATATTTTTGTCTATATTGAGATAACACTCAAGTGCAAGAGCCACCTGAATCTAATCCTGTAAGTGTAGGAGGAGAAGCCCTTTTCCCCTCCCTGCCTGTGCTGCAGAACATAATCACGTCAAGCCTGGGTATGCGAGAGCCAAGGAAACCAGATTCCTTTGAGGCAGATGAGTTCTGATCCACAGCAGTTACGTTAACTTGATCCTTAACCTGATGCTTTGTCTTCTGCATCTTTAAGTGTTAAAAAATGTAATAGTGGAGTGTAATAGTCCTTTTTTACAGAACTGGCTTCCACAGCAGGCTGGGCCTAGGCAAGCCAGAACGTGTGAAGCTCAAGGACGTAAGGATCAGTATGGAACTGACTCCAATCAACATCCAGTTCTAATAACAAATCAGAACTGTGAATTCAACAAATGGAGTAATATTTTCTGTAAATGCTTTTTCTCAGTGTTAAGGACCATAGTGTCTATTATTCTGATCAGTTTTATAGCTCGGAGAAATGGCTACACTTTAATTTAAGGCACGTTCTTTCACATTATGGGTCCCAGTGCTCCTGCATTCTGTTGTCTGCCAGTAAAGACAGCCCTAGGAGCTGCCTTTTGTACTGTGTGGAGGATGGTGTGTTTCCTACTATGCCCTTCATTCTGAGTCTACCCCCGTGCTCCAAGGGTGACAGAGGTGACACTGTGGGGCCAGCGTGGCACACAGAGCACCCAGGGCCTGTCTGTGGGGCTGCCTCGTGGCTTTGGGTCTGCGTGTAGAAAAGACTCAACTTGCACGCAATATTGTGCTGGCTTCCAGGTCCTATGTGTTACAGTATCCAGAAACCTTAAATGCGAATTTTTCTTTTCATTGTGCAGCACAACGTGGCATGTGAGTGTGGGTTTTAAAAGTATTTTTAAGTTGTGGTAATAACGTCCTGCACATTGAATAAGTATTAATTAGTTCTCTGGAGATGCTCAGGGAACTGGTCTTTGCAGCCTCAAGTACCAGGAGTGTGTCTGTGGTCACCCGTCCAGCGCTGTCTCTTTCCTGGTGATACATTTCCATGGTTAGGGCAGCGCAGCTGGCACGGCAAGCTAAGAATTTGCCCGTATCTGGGTGTCAAATTCTGCATACCCTATTCCTTGAGGCCTTTAAAGCAGTCACTTTTTGTCTCATTCTCTGGTTCTTCCAGGTGTATAAATGCAAGAATCTTCTAGAAATAAATTCATTTTTAAAAACTTCCCCATTCCAGCAAGATTTTTCCATTTCTGTGCTGGGCTTTTATTTGTTAACATTCTTGGAGAAACTGCTGCCTGTTTCCTTCGTGTTTCCTGAGCGACTGGGGTTACCCCAGCACGGAGCGAGTGGCCGGGAGGTGCCCTGGGCAGCCTGGAGCCGGGGCAGGGCTGGGGTTGGCTGCTGCCAGCTGCCTGGGCAGTGCAGCCGTCCCACTGCCAGGGGGTCTGCGTGGAGGCTTGGAGCCCTGCGCCTGTCTCCTCCAGCCTCGCTAACTCCTACATCTCCACTCTAAGCTACACTAGTGCTCGGGCAGCAGCGCATGAGGCGGGGGGAAAGGAATGAGTGTAAAACAGAGCAAATTCCCAGCCTCACATGGCTCAAGTCTTTCAGCGAATGCTTCCCCATTTGTCCGTGTTGACCATGCGCTATCATCCCTCTTTTCTGTGCGCTCAGTGTTTTTCAGCATCTCCTGTCCCTTCCTTCTCAGCTGTGCTAGTACTTGTACTGCTTTTGACTTCGTCTGCTCAGAGCCTGCATTAAAGAAACCTCATTGCTCAGTCCCTCCCGTGCAGTCTGTGTGTGTTCCCGTTTCTTTCTCTGTGCCCCTTTCCCCACAGATATGTCACTGTGTGCTATTTGTAGATATACATATCCATGCAGTAATGTGCTATTTATAATACTCTGTGTAGAAATGCTGCTTATACAACGTAGTATGTAAAGAGTCACTGTTGCCACTTATAGGATGCTTCATACCTTCTGCTGTACAGGATTTGAGGATTTTTTGTTTGGTCTTTTTTTTCTGGTATGAAATAACCCATTCTCCATTGTAACTGGCCCTCAAACTCTGTCAGGAAAGCTTTTTAGCAGAAAAGGGTTTTTTCATGAAATCTCATTAGGATCAACCGTTCTTTGAACTGTTCAAAAGTGTCATTTCTTTTCTCTTGAATGTGTTCCTCGGGAGATATTTTGATTATGCTATTTCTAGACAAAAAGCAGTAGCAAGAATAGCACCTAATAGATGGGGAGGATCTGAGCACCCGGCTTGGAGTGCAGCCCCTGCTGCAGGGCAGGCTGCAGTGTGAGGATTCTGGTAGCAGAATCAGTCTTGGAAAGCTGTAGCAAAATTCCTTCCCCCTCCCACCCCAGAGAACAAGCAATCAAAAAACCATCCAGATGGCTTTGCAATTAATACAGTCCTTTTTTATATTATTTTTTTCCCCAGGTTAGGAAATACCAATGCATTTCCTGTGTGTGCAACTTGGCTCTTGTCACCTTTGGGAATACTTTATGATGTAGCCTTTGGGTCTAGATATGCTTCAGCAACAAATCTATTTTATGTTCTAACCACCAGCAATAGCAATTTTAGTGCATAGACTGTACATGAAAACAAGAATTGTTTGTGTTGCCAGTTCATCGAGCAAAGGTCATTTGTGCTGATAGCTATCAAAACATTTGCTACTCAAACTTCTTATGGGTCATGATAGCGGATTTAATATATGTAAAAACTGCAGCAGGGAAGCAGGGAGCTATTCCATATCTCCATATTGGGTAGGACAAGAAATGCGGACATTAAATTGCAGAAATAAGGTTTCAGATTAGACTTTCAACAAAACTGTCAAAAGGCAAAGGCAATAAAGAACTGAGATTGTGGGAGGTGGCTCTGCATTATTGGATATCTTCAACACGTTAGATAAACAACTGTCAAGAACGCCCTAAAAAGAGTTGATTTATATCTTGAGTGTTGCCCCTTCCAATTCCACAAATTAGAGTTTTGTGATAGAAGAGGTCAGTGCACTCAGGTGGGAGGAATGAGCTGGCTACAAGTAGAGTTTTGTGATAGAAGAGCTCAGTGGGAGATTGCACTCAGGTGGGAGGAATGAGCTGGCTGCAGCCAGCCTGGCCCCTCGAGACTGCCTGGAGGGGAGTCCAGGCTTGTGCGAGGCATCATCATCATCATCATCTTCCTCTCCAGCACAGCCCCAGCTTCACACAAGCTTCCATGTGAATGGCGTGGTGGCAGGGAAGTCTGCCTGGCACTGTAGTCTGTGCGTAACTTGTAGGGTTACTCTGACAATTGTCAATCCACATTTTCCAAACTTTGAAAGTTTGGAATGGAGAAATATAGGAGAAAAGACATAAAAAAAACAACTTTGTCAAGTGTTTTTCAATATTTTTCTCTAAGCTGAACTCTGGGAGTGATGTGGTTGCGTGAGAACTTGTGGATGATTCAAAAACATTGTGTCTGAAAACTCACTATCTGGAAAACAAGTAGAAAGAATGACAATTGTTAGTGTTATGGTTTGGGTTTATTTTTAGGCTTGTTTTCATTATCTTTTACAAAACCTGCCTAACTGTCCTTTGAGTCCTTGAATACTGAGCATTTTGAAGCTATTATAAAATGGAATGTACCTAAAAGCTGTGGATTGACGAATACCAAGTATTGAGTTTAAGTCAAAAGATGCTAGGATATAAAACAAGACATACTTAAAATACAGTCGTGTAAAAAAGAGGCGAAGGGTATTTCTTCATTTCTCAAAGGAGACTAGGGCCCCCTCTTAACAGGCAGATTCATGGATTAGTTGGAGTTTTAGGCCATTCATCATGGGTTTCCAGCTGACTTCTTCTTGCCCACCTGCAGCACACAGAGCTGCTGGGGCGGCCGCGCGGCATGGTAAGCGCATGCGTGTTCTCCTCTTAGAGCCTCCGGGGTCGGGACTGTCCATAGCAGCCAGGAAGGTTCCCAGATCGGGACATTTAGAAAATGGGAGCAGCTTCTTTGTGCATTGAACTTGGAGGGCTGAACCCTGGACTCTGAGAGCTGGGGAAATGCTTGTTCACTTGCTGGAAAGGGTCTGACAGGCTGCAGTGTTTGCTACCCCACATCTCTGATGAATTCTCTCTCACAGGCAGGAATGGCAACTCCGGAAAATCCCGAGCAGTTGATCATTGCCCTGGAACCTGAGGCTGCCTCTATCTACTGCCGAAAACTTCGCCTTCACCAGATGATAGACCTGAGTAGTAGGGCGCCTGTCAATGGTTATAGCCCAAGTGACACAGCTGGAACTGGATTTACACAGGGTACTTCTTCTATTAACTCGCTTGAGATCCTTGTGCCTAAGTTTGCCTTGTTCCTCAGGGCTGTTTTCTTACCATTTATTGTCTTCACTCCCTTGCAATGTTCCAGGCTAGCGTCAATTTGCTTTTAATATATTGTTTCATTATTTACTCTAATTAGCCTACTTCAGTTTTTTATCCAGCAAACACGTTTGCACATACCAAAATTTTAGCATGCAGGTATCTTCATTGCCTTTACTAGGTTGTTGTGGGACTCTGTTAGAGACTAAAATTAAAGAGAAGAAGAGTATTTGCAGATTTATTTTTTCCTTAATTCAAATTAACACTTCATGATTGGGTCAATTTTTATCTTATATTGGAAACAATTACGTTTGCTGCATTATTGAAGTGGTGTCATACAATGGGGTTTGCAATGAGACACAGTGTGGGTTGTTCTTCCAGAGTTTTAGCAGATGATACTTGCCTATGAAATAGGCAGTATTAATTACTGGCAATGCTAAGACACACAGAATTGGAATTCCATAGAGAATTTATCTACATGTTGAAGAAACTGAATATGGCACTTCTGATTTATTGGCACACGACTGCTTGAGACTATCAATGTTTGAAGACTGACTTACACGGCGGGACAGAGCCTGGACTGCAGTTTGAGTCACTTGGCCGAAGTTCCTTTAGCATCGAAGATTCCTGAGCTCACCTGAGGTTGGAGGGGGACAGCGCTGTGACTGTGGCATAACGGGCCACGCTGCCTGTCGTGGGAGTTGTATCAGCTGCACTAATGTCAGGGCTGGTGCCCATCTATCCCAGAGAGAGTTTTTTTCAGAGTAATTTGTATTTTGTCACATTTACTGATGAAAACAGCATAAGCAAATGGAAGATTAAGCTAGTAAAGCCATTCCTTTACTTGCTGGGTTTTTGTTTTAGTCAGACTGAGGCATCACATCGTTTCATCGTCTCCGTGCACCTTCCAGCTAGCAGTTGTCAGATGTGTTCAGTGTTAGCGAGACCCATGCAAGTCCCTTCCTCTGCACTCCCTTCTTTCCCCTGTGTTCATGTTCTCGTCCATTCACCTTCCATGTGATTTTCCATGTCCCCACTTCCAGATTCTATGGGGATTTGCCTCTGGAAAAATAAATTATCAATGAAAAAAGTATCTGGCTAAGGGGGTGTTGAAGCTGAGCATGATCTGTTTGACAGACCTCTAGGGATTCTGCTACAGGGTCTTTTCTTGGACAGGGAGGTATTGTTCTCTCTCTGGACTTTGTAAGGTAAAAGCTACTGTTGATGAGAAAGATTAATTAGACCAGAATTAATCAAAATTAAGGAAAATAAGTTTTGAGTGAATTAATCTGGGGTTGGATTTCAAATTTTGTATGGACATGGCAAGGACCCAAGAAAAGCTGGAAACGGATTAAGAAGTTTAACATAAACATAACCAGAGGGAGGCACTCCAAGGGCTGTATTACTGCTGTGAAGTGAAACCCCAAACTCTACTGTTCATAATGGCCAGGGTAATTTTACTCTAGTCATGGGTAACGGCGTGATAGCACAGGCGACTCCACGTTGGCTTCATGGAATGTTTTGCAGCTTTTAAATGTTGAAGTAGAAATTATTTTTTTGCAAATTAATTTCTAATAGTGTTATTAGAATACACTTATTTTTAGTTTGTATGTAGCTAAATTACTCTGTACCAAAGTTCTCTGCATATTTATAATAGACCAAATCTTATTAGTCAAAGACAGATATAATTGATTTGCTTAGGAAATAACAGCAATATTAGGTTCTGCTGTGCAGACTATAGATAAAACTAGAATTTCCGTAGGTAAAGGTTGAAATACGTATTAATGTCTTTAACCATAGGCAGGTGACTCTTTCCTGCCTGAGAAACTCAGACTTGATGATCTCTTTGGGCCTTAAGAAGTTGGGAAACTGTGAACTTGTGACCTGCAGTTTTCACGTGTTTGCTTAGAGACAGGCTCAAAGGTCAGGGCTGAAGGACTTGCCAGGTATTGAGCGCCCAAAATCAGGAATAGGAGCCCTGGACTTTGCCCTTCCTAGGAACGTTTAGGTCCCTGTCGGTCTCTTCTGGGCTAGGGCTGCCACCTTGTGGCACAAATACCCCTTGGCATGGCTGGCAACTGGGACACCTTGTTGCAGGATGCATTTTAAAAACCATAATATAAAGTGTTGTAAGGAAGGACTTGCTTGTGGCCCACAGTATTAGTTTCACATTGGTTGGTTTTAATCCACTTACTCACAAGGAAGTTCAGAGTGTCTAAAAAGACCTTTTCTTCCTTCTTTCCAGGAGTGATGTTGCATTCTCAATGCTAATACAGTGGTTTTTATCCATCTGTTCTATTAAATAGAGATATGTCACCTGGTTTGCATTTGCTTCCTGTACTGTATGCTGTCAGCTCGTGCTTACAGGCAGTAACTTTTTCTCTCTCCATGACCAGCTAAGGAACACGTCCGCCGTAATCGACAGAGTCGCACCTTTCTGGTGGAAAATGTCATAGGAGAGATCTGGTCTGAACTGGAGGAAGGTAGCATTCTTTCTCGCAGTAATTCTTCTCTTTTGGGTTTTATATTGTGGATGAACATTGCATTTCCCACAAATTTGCTATGCACTTTAGGTTCTCAAAATGATTATAAATAGAAACAAAAAATACAAGTGCATAAAATACAAGTGCTGTTCTTAGTTACCAGGGCTGAGCTGCAATTCTGCATGCTCTAGCAAAGTGTATCTTTTTAAGTGGATGATAGAAAAGAAACTTCTTTTTAAAACACAGAGCAGAACTCATTTCCTTGGAACAGGCCTTGCAAGCATGCCGTAATTTGGAAGGCCACCAGCATGTACAGTAGCATGAGCAGCTCCATTAATCCACCTCAGCACTCATCTGTGCTAAATCAATAGCTCTGGACATCCAAATTCCATATTTATTATCAATCGCTACATTATAATTGTTAGTAATTATAATTACATTTTCAGTGCAGACAGCCATGACTTTATGCAAGCCATCACTGCTGCTGCTGCTAATGCCTATGGGAAGTTTTCCTAGCAATATAATGCTGTTTTAATGCTAACATGAATATCACTTGCTGTGCCTGCTGCAAACCAGGTGATCGTTACATCGTTGTTGACAGTGGAGGGGGCACAGTGGACATGACCGTTCATCAGATCAGGCTTCCTGAAGGGCATCTTAAGGAACTGTACAAGGCAACAGGTAAATGGCACTGTCACTGCCTGCTCTTCTGTGTAGTATTTGACTTGTCATTGAAGGTAATAATCTGTAGTGAATAATCTGTATTATTCACTACATTTAATTAATGGTTCTTCCTGAAATAAGATCAGCATTCCAAATTAGGATAGCCTAACTGCTGCTCAGTAGACAAGGGTAAATCAGTTTATTCTCCTGACATTTTGGAATAGTAAACCTAAATTTCAGAGAGTAAGAAACTGCATCCTCCTTTGTTCCTCACTTTCAGGCGTGATGCTGGTCTGGCCTCTGCTAACGAGTCATCATCTCCAGGTATTCCAGGACATAGCATAGAGATGAGAAGAGCTGAGTCTCACACCAGGATCCTTGTAAAGTGACTTGTAAAGAATTTTCCCCAGATTTGAGGGAAAGGTCATATATTCCAGTAATTTCACAGGCAGTGTAAGCATCTGTGGGGCCCTCCATTCCCTTGGAAAAATGCACAATGATTGGTCCACAACAAAGATGCAGAATGCAATTCCTTGAATGATATTCTTTTCCTGAACGCCTCTCTATACACAGTCAGTAGTGCCAATCTGCGGTGTATATGGTGAACTTGGGATCTACTAAGAAGAATATTAAAACTGTCTTTTGTCTGCAATACAGGTGGGCCATATGGTTCTTTAGGCGTGGACTATGAATTTGAAAAGCTCCTGTGTAAAATATTTGGAGAAGATTTTATTGATCAATTTAAAATCAAGCGTCCTGCTGCCTGGGTGGACCTGATGATAGCATTTGAGTCGCGTAAAAGGGCAGCAGCTCCAGACAGGACCAACCCACTGAACATTACTCTGCCTTTCTCCTTCATTGACTATTACAAGAAGTTTCGGGGTCACAGTGTAGAACATGCCTTGAGGAAAAGCAAGTGAGTAGATTTTTGAGCATAAACAGATGCATAATTAACAACTGACTGCCTAATTACATGTAGACTAAAAGATATTAATGTAAAAATGTAGTATATTAATGAAAAATGGAATTGCGTGAAGCATGATTCCCAGAATAAAAAGTTGTGATCAGCCTCTTGCAAAACCTTTTCTGTAAAGACTACAGTCTCATGGTGCTGTTTTCTATGACTTTTATCAGGCCACCATGCAGAGAATCACAGGACAGCTGAGGTTGGAAGGGACCTCTGGAGATCATCCAGTCCAACTCCTCGTTGGTTGCCCAGTGGCCTATTAAGTCACTTTCCTGAATTTGACCATGTACTTTGAGTCCCTTGTTTATTAATGATTTTATTTAAGAATCAGCCCTAGATGATACTTCTCATGTCAGTTCTGCTTTCCAAAGTACTCATTTAAATCCAAGACCCATTTCATAGATGGGAAAAGAGATTAACAGAATATGAGGGTCAGAGATAACAAACAGAGATGCATAAAAGTTAATTACTGAGAATGATAGTTTTTAGAGGCTGAGTCTTGAAAGGATTCCAAGATCAGGAGATGGTCCAGGATCAAGCACCATAAAAGACAAGATCATGGGTTATTGCAGAAAAGGAAGTGAGGAGAAGGTAGAAGTAGACATTTTAACTCTGTTGATCATCTTCCTCCCCTCCCTTGAAATTTTATTGTTCACGCTGCCTTGGGCTGGGTGAGGCCAGGTCCTGTCCTCCAAGCAGACATGCAGCTTATGTGTCATGCAAGTTCTTGCCTGTTTCTTATGGCTAGACTTGTCTTAATGACCTTCTTCATCATTATTTTCCAGCGTGGACTTTGTGAAGTGGTCCTCCCAGGGGATGCTGAGGATGAGCCCCGATGCAATGAACGCTCTTTTCAAGCCTACAATCGACCAGATTGTTCAGCACCTGAGTATGTATCCGTGTGTAGCCCCACTTTCTAGCCGAGCTGAGGCAGGAGCTTCGTTTGCCTGTTTCAGACCGGCAAATGAACAACCCAGCTAGACAAGAAGTCTAGTTCTGAAATGTGTAGCTCCCTACAAAGTGGCACTCTGCAAAGTAGGGGACATCCCCTTAACACGCCTTCCTACTTCATTCTAGTACAAGTTCTTGAGTGTGATTCAGTTGTGTTGCTGTCTAAGCTCAAATTATTTTGTACTTCTAGGACTACAGGCATTCAGAAGGCTGAAGGGTGCTGGTTAGCTCAGATCCTATTTTCCTTTCTCCTATTTTTGGAAAGAACTAATTAACGTCAGGGACATAATTATGTTTCTGATTTTTTCCTGTTATTAAGACCTCTAGTTCATTTCTCATCCGTGGGTGGACTTTATAAAGTCATATTTTTTTCATGGCTGCCCAAATCACTGACAGCTCTAAACCAAAAATAATAAGTGATGCATCTTGATAAAAAGTATATCCAGGCATGACTTAAGCAGCACTGGATATATTAATCCAGTAATAGAAAGTGACATAGGCTTATTGTGAAATTAATTACTCAACCTCTGCCTCATGGACAATTTGGTTTGTATCAAGCAGAGTATAATATATAAGCTGAGCATGGTATTATTACCTACACATTACAAAGCACTAATTTAAAAAATTGTATTTGGAATAGAGTATCCAATTTTGGTCTCTCTGTATGAGGAATTATTAGGTAAATTTGAGAAGAGATGAGACAAATTATATGTGAGCAGGAAGGAGACATCTAGGATTGCGATAGTTTGGGCAGAGCTCTCAGTCATGCTACCTCGGTTACTCGCATGAATTAAGGGTGAGCTTTAGTTATGTTCAGTGATTAAGTTATTTGTTTTTTGGGGGTGATGTGGGCTTAAGCTAAGAGAGAACATGTGTAAAAATGCAAGGAGGAATTATTTTACACATGGTGCACATTGTGGACAAGATGGGAGGGTCTGAAATAGGAAGTGAATTTAAAATTGGATGAATTCTCTGGAATGCAGCAAAGGGCTTTGAATCATTTAAGGTTGGGAGCATCTCGCTGCTGCTTGCAGTGACATTCGTCACAGTGCGGTGTCAATCCCCCCACCACAAGTATTCTGATTGGCAGAGTTTCTGTGCTAAGAATCAGTCTCCCTTTACTAGCTCAAATGAAATCAAAATTCTCTTCAGGGAGCCTAGCCCCCATTTCTGCTTCAGAACTATCCCATCTTCCTAGGGAGTTCCTGTTCACAGGCATCGCCTCAGTGGAAGATAGTGCGGAAGAGCCCGTGGCTCCTTCTGCACCTCTGAGGAGGTGAAGCAGAAGTGGACCTTGTGCTTGCCAAGTTCGGGGGAGAGCACAGAGTCCCTCAAAGCATGTGGCAGTTTCAGATCTTGTGCATACGAGGACAGCAGGAGTGATTTTCACCTGTGTGTATCACTTTGCCTCAGGAAAGTTTTCCCTGACTAATGGCCTTATTTCTGTTTAGGTGACGTGTTTGACAAACCAGAAGTGACTAATGTCAAGTTTCTGTTTCTGGTGGGTGGCTTTGCTGAATCCCCCTTACTTCAACAAGCTGTCCAGAGTGCTTTTGGGTCCAGATGCCGAGTGATCATCCCTCAGGATGTGGGGCTCACCATCCTCAAGGGAGCCGTCCTCTTCGGGCTCGACCCCGCCGTGATCAAAGTGCGCCGTTCCCCGCTCACCTACGGGGTCGGGGTGCTGAATCGCTTTGTGGAAGGGAAGCACCCGCCGGAGAAGCTGCTCATTAAGGATGGCACGCGCTGGTGCACTGATGTCTTTGATAAATTTATCTCAGCTGACCAATCTGTAGCCCTTGGAGAAACTGTGACGCGCAGTTACACCCCTGCGAAACCTTCCCAGTTAGTTATAGTGATCAACATCTACAGCTCAGAGCAAGACAACGTCAGTTTTATCACTGAATCGGGAGTGAAGAAGTGCGGCACCCTGCGCCTGGATCTCACGGGAACTGATGCTGCAGGGCCAAACCGACGGGAGATCAAAACACTCATGCAGTTTGGGGACACTGAAATCAAAGCCATAGCCATTGATGTTGCCACCTCTAAAAGTGTCAAAGTTGGTATTGATTTCCTAAATTATTAGCAGCCCATTTTCTCCACCTGTTTGTGAGACTGTTCTTCCACTATTTCATTTTTTGACTTTCATAAATCATGTAATCAACTTGAATTTCAGCAGGCTAGATGAGAACAGCTGGTAGGTAAATATGTCACGTTGGTGACCTTGGTTGACCAAAGGCTGGATCTTAAAGGACCCTTTAAAATTTTGGGGAGCAAAAGGTTCAGAGGTAGTAAAAATTCTTCACTTGCTCAAGCATGTTCAAAGCCCCACCTTTATAAAGTAATACTGATTGTTGTTGGGTGCTAAAGACTAATTTTAAAAATATGAAATCGTTAGATCTTTGTTATGAAATCCTTCCTCCTCCCAAGAAACACTCACCAATTCACAAGGTGGTTGTAGGTATTATCTGAAAAAAATAGACTAGCTTACAGTGTTCTTCTGTTCTCTTGATTTTTGCCCTGTGCTTTCAGAATTTTTAGAGCTGAAAGCCAAGTACTTAATGAAATAGAAACTGAGTTTCTTAATTTCTGAGATTCCAAGAAAATAAAATTCTTGGAATCCTTAAAATTAGATTATATAATGTATATTGGGAGCCTAATATTAACTGCTGCAGTTTGAAAATAAAGCCTTTATTGTTAAAAGCTCTTAGAGTTTCCTTTTCAGGCTATTTTAAACTTTTATTGCTCTCCATCTGAAATCACAGACTCATACAATAGTTGAGACTGGAAGGAACCTCCATAGCTCAACTTGTTCGACCGACCTGCTCGAAGGAAGGGCAGCTGGAGCTGGCCGTTCTGGACATTACCCAGTTCGGTGTTGAGTATCTCCAAAGCTGGAGATCTCACAGCCTTTCTAGGCAACCTGTTCCAGTGTTTGAACACTCTCACCCGGAAAAGTCGGCCTTTTTGTTTCTTTAAGTGGAATTTCTTGTGTTTCAGTTTGTGCCCGTTGCCTCTTGTCTGTTCACTGGTTACCCCTGAGGAGGGTCTTCATTTTATTTATGCCCTCTTAGGAGGTATTTGTTCACACTGGTCAGAACCCCCTGTCCCTCTCTTCTCCGGGCAAACAGCCCCAGCTCTCTCAGCTTCTCCTCCTGTGTCACTTAGTCCCTTAATTGACTTTGTGGCCCTTGGTTGAACCTGCTGCAGCAGCTCCATGTAAAATACAGTTAGCTGAAGGCTATGCAAGAAGTTTTAAACAACTTAAAATGGAGAAAATTATCAGGTTAAAAGTATCATAACTTATTTTCAGTAGCAAACATTTTAATAATGGAAAATATATTTCTGTGTTGAGTTTAACATGCATTAAAGTGGGGAATCATCGAATCATAGAATGCTCAAGTTTGGAAGGGACCTCTAGAGGTCATCTAGTCCAACAGGCAGGGTCACCTAGAGCACGTGGCACAGGGCTGCGTCCAAGCGGGTTTGAAGATCTCCAGAGAAGGAGACTCCACAACCTCTCTGGGCAGCCTGTTCCAGTGCTCTGTCACCCTCACTGTTAAAAAATTTTTCCTTAAGTTCCTGTGGAACTTTTGGTGCTTCAGTGAAATGACAAATAGCGTTAACGGGATAAAGCATTGCAGTTGTGGCTGGGAGCACTCAACTTCACTGCAGGGAAAGTTCAGCAATGGCCACAGAAACATCTTGCTTACCAAATAATAACTTTCTAGATATATTTTCTTATGCTTGTTCACCTGGAGAATTTCTTCTGCAAGTGTCATAGTTTTTATTTAGTAAAATCCTGCTAGTGAGTAACGTGAAACCCTGGATCTGTCTCTTCTAGGAACCGATAACCTCTAATGCAAATCCAAACCCCCAGGGTAAGTCACAGACTGATCTTGACCCATAAAATCACCCCAAAATGCTACCAGCACTTGCAAAACTTTGGCCCAGAACTGATAACCTGCTGGAATTCAGTACATTTTTGAAACTGTGCAATGTTAATTGTTAAACTACACCTTCCTTTCTCTAAGTTTAGCATGAGTTAAAGCCATGACTGACACTTTTGGGAAATGAAAGTTTTAACAATTACTTCACTAATTTACGTTCCAATCCTGCACTTCAGATTTCTATGTTTAACTTAGAGTTTTGCCACAGCAAAGAGTGCAGAACTGCCTGGCTATGTTTTGCTCTTGAATTTTGTGTCTCCTGCAGAATTCCTGAGTAGAATGTAAAAAGGAATCTGTTTTGCATTCAGTTAATTTTAAAAAAATAAGAATAAAAAAACCACAATGATGACTATGGAGAATGCTAGTCACGGTATCCGACTGGATACTTTCTGTAATTACAAAGTGTGCTTGCTAGCATTCAGTTTCCTGCTGCCTGCTAAATGCTTTAAAAGCTAAATATTAGAATTTTTGTGTGCTGCTTTCCATGGTTTACAAACAAGAGTAACTTTAAGATGACTTATGAACAATATAATTTTATGTATATACAATATTTAAATATTGTACAGACTCTTTCTTTCTACAGTGCTATTTTCTTGTATAAAAATGCTCTTTGCCTCTGTTGATTTCATTCAGCTGTTAATTTTAAATGACAGTTTTTCAATCAGCTTCCGTAACTATAGGCTTTAAGGGATGGTAAGATATGAAATGTTAAAGGCTGATCTTATAATAGTAGGAAAGAAATGTTGGTGTGTCAGAGAACACAACATTCTTCCTGCAGTGCCAGTCATAGCAATCAAGCCTATTACATGGATGCACTGGTATGGTGGTGGATTTATTTTGTTTCAAGTGGTCACCTTTACATTCCTAACAGTTCATCATAATAATGGATAAATCCTCCTGTAAAATCATGTTAAAGTTGTATTAAATGTATGATCTGGATATACAGCTTCTTCAACATTTTTTTTTGCCTTTTTTTTTTTTTTATATAAGTATCTCTGGTTCAAAACGATGCTTTCCAAAGGCAGTAACACCACTTTGCAGTAGCTGCAGGCCAGGGGCAGCAGAGGCCACTAGTCTGCCAGTGCCCGAACACGAAGTCCGTACAGAAAACAGGCTGCAGTGTCTGCGCTCTGCATTTCACTGAGTGGGTCCGACCCTGCACACACTTTTTTCCAGAACTTTTGTGGCCTTAATGTTAGCACAGAATCTAGTGAAACCTCGGTGACGTGGCCGCGGCCTTCCCCCAGAGGAGACCCGCTGCTCACCATGTGGCTCATGACCTGTTTGCAGTGCCCAGGAGCGGCAGGAGCTGCAGCTCCTCAGAAGTGGAGTTTTTGAACTGTAGTGGTTTTCTGCACTTTTGTATTCACCTTTTCTAAGATTCTACGTGGATCCAAGCAGGGGTTTATTAACCAAATAATTCTGCTGTAACTAAAATGTGAAGATTTTGCATATTTTTGCACTTCCTCATTATCAAGCTTATCTTTGCAGAACAGGGAACTACTGAGCAAACTCCCACCTGACCTCATTGCCCTCTTTAAACCCAAAAATGGAAAATTAGCTTGTCTCTAGTGAATTAGGGTAAGGAAGTAGAATATTATGCTATGGTCTGTAGTCTATAGCCCTGTTGAGCAACTTTACATGGTAAGTGGCATATGGATGCCTGTTTTGATAGTGAAGGTTGTTAGGCTATAAAATTACTATGAAATTTGTTAGGAAATGAGTCATTTTTAGAATAGTAATTCTGTAACTTTAGCAGGATATTCCCTGCAGAGCATTTTTCCATAGGGATTGCGGTTGGCATTGTGCAACTTAGTGTTGACAAGGGCTGCTCTCCTTAGTAGAGAGAGGCAGCCTTGACAGAAGTTTTTCTTAAGCAGCAACTGGCAAGAGTTGGTAAAAGCTACATAGCTCCAGGCTGAAAGTTAGCAGCTAATTGTGATAGAAGGACTGATTGTACTAGAGTCTGATAAATGTGCAGTGATGGTTAGAACAGGTAATACTGGAATATTTATACCACTGTATATATATATACAGGAGTTTTAATGCATTATTATGAGAAGGCTAATTATATATTGCAGAGATGTAATCGCCAAGATAGGCTGCATATTTATAATATGAAGTGGCTTAAGCGGCTGAATAGTATAAAAGTTGTTGGGCATAATGTCACAGTACTCACCTGCTTAAAATATTCTTAAACTATATTAGAAAACCAACCATTGTGGTCTTGTTCACCTCTGTGCAAGATAAGTTCAGATTTCACTGATGTTTGGAGCTGTTCACAACTTGTCTGGATTGTATCTGAGTGTTCTTGTGTCTTCAACCATGTCAAATAAAATATGTTAAAACTAAATTTTATTTGTGTTACTATTTTTATGAAAATCTCTATAAGAAGCGAGCAAGGTTAAGTCATGCACATTCACATCATAACTGAGCAAAAGGGACACCAACTACACGTGCTGCATATCGGGGTTTTTAAACCTGTTTTGATTTTGGATACCTGCAGTCTTTGCTCCGCGGTTGCAGCGCTCTGGGTACTGCTACAGATTGTCAAACAGGCTGCTGCTTTTTCAGTTTGCTTCTGTATTTCTTAGAGTCCACGTGAGCCTACGGTTGAAATCCACTGTTGGGTATCGTACTCAGATTCCATAAAGCTTATGTAGCTTTAAATAGGCCATTTGTTGGGTGTTAAGACAAAAGGCTGTCAGACAGTACCAAAAAACATTAGGTATTTTCTATGAGACGTTACAAATCAGAATGAGAGCTGGGAAATGGGATATGCTCAACACTCAAGACATACCTTTCTTGCCATTTTTAAAAGACATTCTCTACAGAACTATCATGGTATCAGGAATATGATGGTGCTGCTGATTTTCACAATCATCTAAGTATTTCTTTCAGATCCTATTGATGATAACGAAAAAAATACAATAGCAAATAAGATGTAAACAAAAAACACAGCACGTGATAGTCGATATTCCAGTCGGTCATAGTCCATGGCAGCAGGTCTGAAGGAAGATGCACATTGAGCAGAGAGTGAACATCTGAACAGGGTTCACATCCAGGGTAATGCAAAACTTCCAGGATTAATATTCAATAGTTCATCTTCAAAATTTATCAAAGGAGGAGTTTAAAGTAACTTGCTCAAAGTGTTGCCTGTGGAAGAAGAGGAGAAATATCTTTAAGGAAACAACAGGCCGATGGCTTTGAAGAATGACAGTGCATGAGTTTTGCCCCGAAGCCTTCAGGCCGCCACCAGCAGTGACGTGTTCCCCGCAGATACTCCCAGGTGTTGGCGTGCAGGGCGCCAGAGAGGCAGGGAGAGGAAAGGCCCTCCCGAGGAAGAGACGGCGCCAGCCTGGGGCTGGCTCTGGAGGGGCACCGGCTGCCGCAGGCCGCGACGGCTCCAGCGGTCTCTGGAGGAGCTCC